ATAGAGGAGGCTACTACGATTTATTGATTATTTCTCAGGACAACATAAAGCCAGTGAAACTGCTGAGCTTGTCTTTTCTTGACTAAATCAAATAAACAAAGGTAAACAGCATTGTAATAACGTGCACTTTAAAATTCTACCCTTGGAAAATGAAAAAGGCAACACAGAAAAACCAACGCAAAGAACTTTAAATCGAGACGAGGGAAGAACTATACGGATTGTGTGTGAGTGCCTTTATCACCAGCGCGCTGCTTTGTGTGTAACGGACAAGCTGCTTCCTATCGCCTCCTCTATCAGCATAGTTCACAGGAAACTAAACAGCACTGCAGGCAAGCCATTTAACTGGCCTGACAAAGCAGCAATATGTCACAGAGAGAGGGAGAAGACGACGAAGAGAGGGGAGGAGGAAGAGGAGAGGAGGAGGGAAGTTGGACAAAGCAGTGATTGGGGAGATAAAGGAAAAGTGATTGAAAGGAGAGGAAAGAGATAAAAGAGATGAGAAAGCGAGGGAGGAGAGACGCGCACGAAACCATGAGTCACGCCGAATGAAGCCAATTTCTCAACTCCACACGACAGTAACTTGTTATTCTACCAGTGATTATCTTTTTATCTGGAAACTCGAGTGAAAGCACACAGTTCATTAGTTTTAAACCAAAGATGAGATGCGGGTCTCAGCTAACCAATCACATCACATGTAGATTAGGCTTATATTTGGTGTTGTGACTGTAGAACGCATCCTGGAGAGAGTGACGCAGACACGGCTGGGGACTCGCAGAGTCGTGGCACAGACGACGCCGCGGTCGCTGGCGCTTTCCACCGTGGGGAAAATAAAACTGCCGCTGCACTTCTGTTTGTTTAAGCCATTTCTGCTCTGCGAGATAAAACAGCAGAGGGGGGAAAGCAAAATGGGATGGGGGGATTTTCTTCTTATTAGTGTGCCCTACAAAGCAAACACTAACTGCCTTTTTTGTTTGGTTTAAGGCTTAACATTTAAGCGTTTATGTTTCCCTAACAATAAACAGTGTCAGCTATGTATTTACCAGCTATATGCTGGTGAATGCCAACTTCTGTGGCAACATTTTGTACTGGGGCAGCAGCAGGTGGTTCGTCTTCCCTCTTTTCTCTGCTCACAGGTCTACTTTTATTTGCTTTGCAGGATAAAAATAAGAGTAGAGAATAGTTCCTGCTGCCTTTAAAGTACATCGGATTATTTTGTTGCTGTTGTGAAGTAATTGTAACCAAAGCTATTGTTCCTCCTACTTCCCACCTTAATCCTTGGAGGGTTACGTTGCCAGCAATGAAAAGTACCCTGACCTTCTTTTTAATAACTGGAAGACTCAAAATGGTCTGAAAATATGCTGACACACACAGCCTTCCCATATGGAAAAGAAATAGAAAAAACTTATAAAAGACTTGCATCAAATGTGGCCTACTTCATATAGTGAATCATATTAGGCTTATATGATTTACTCGTGAAAGTGGCCACTTTCATATATTGTTTTAGGAAGTATCCAAAACATATAAGTTTCATTTATATAATTTTTCTAGGGATCTTATATCTGTTTTCACTCTTGTATGCTTTTCATACAAGTTTCACACAAGACAGATACAAACTTTATAAGATTTATATATATCTTTTCCATATGGGTTATGTATGGCGGACTTTTACTGTAATGGATGCTATCTTGTGTTTTGAATGTGGAAAGAAAACCTCAGGAACAAGCCTCGTCTCTCCAGACTAATAAATGTGATAAATGAGAGACAGCACTGAAATAAAATAACTTTTTTTTGGAAAAACTCCAGGATAAAACTATGCCAATTTTAAAAAATGATCTCAGTTTAGCGTTGTGTGAGCTGTAGCCTTGGCAGCATAAAACTGTAATCCAGAAAAATGGAGTCTAGGATTGGAGGGATGTTTGAATGCACTTTGCAGAAGTTTCTAATTCGATTTTTTTTACATGTTCTTTTTTCTTTTTAAATTACGGATTTACTTTGCTAAAATTAGAAGTTCAAAAATAGATAAAAAATACCAGATGGCAGATTAAGTGAACCCCTCCCAACATCTGCTGTCTGGATGTTTGTGAGGAACCTTGGAGTCATTTTTAAGCAGAGCTTTTCCATTAACCTGCACGTTATACATATAACTGAGACTGCCTGTTTTAATAAGCACAGAAATTATTATTACCTGTAAGTACTTATTACTGTTTTAAAAATTTCCTGAAAAGCTTTCGGATGATCCAAAACGTGACAGGAAGAACACTGAAAACTGCCACCTTGTTAAATCCAGAACTGAAATGAAAAATCGTATTCCTCACATTCAATGTCCTGCATGATCAGGCCAAATTGTAACTTCAAAATGTGACATAACCCCAACAGAACACTCAGCCTTGTGTGTTCTGTTGGGGTTTGCTTGAGTTTCTAAAAGCTGAATGGGAGGCAAAGCCTTCAGCTTTCAGGCCCCTCTACTGTTGAATCAGCTCCCAGTCTGGATTTGTGAGACAGACCTGTCTTTTAAGATTAGGTTTAAACTTTTGTTAAAGCTTATAATTCAGGCTTTAGTTATGCTGCTATAATCTCAGGATGCTGAGAGCTTCCCATGATAACTGAGCATTTCGTTCTCACCTCTTTTCTCTCGCCATGGATTTATAAGTTTCAAGTTTATTCATTTATATAGCACTTTTAAAAACAACAGTTGTTGACCAAAGTACTGTACAATAACACAGTCAAAGCAGAAGACATACCAAATAAAATAGAATATAGATTAAGAAAAAATAGAATCATGGAAAGAACAATAGAAACAGACTCATCTTGATTTAAAAGCCAGAGAGTAAAAGTGGGTCTTTAGACGGGTTTTGAAAGTCTCCAGTGTTGAAGAGGTCCTGGTATGCCAGGGCAATGAGTTCCATAATTTAGGAGCAGTCACAGCAAATGCCCGGTCTCCTCTGTGTTTTAACCTCGACCTTGGGACAACCAAAAGCATTTGATATGTTGGGGCTTGGCCATGTAATGTCTTAAAAACAAGTGTTAACATTTTAAAATCAATTCGAAAGCTGACTGGTAGCCAATGTAATGATGCAAGTATGGGAGATATGTGTCCCAGTTAGGAGTCGTGCTGCAGCGTTTTGGACTAGCTGTAGTCGGCCAATTAATGTAGCGGTAATACCAGAATAGAGGCTATTACAGAAGTCAAGACGAGATGAGATGAAGGCATGGATCGCTTTCTCAAAATCTCTGAAGCCACTACTGTATGACTTGATGCGTCAAGCTAAAGCAGAGATGAGTCACCTCAGTTCTTCAGACTGAAGAATTCGCTTGGATAAGTGACAAAACATTTCTCCCACTAAAACATTACATCCAGATTAACAGCATCAACCTTTTGGGAGTGCTGTATGGCATTCGATTTTATCCTTACTGTCCCCGCTTGTGTTTCACCCTTAGTCTCTGTAGTGGAATTACGTTGTTGCCCCTCCCTGAGCCTTCCTATCAATAAAAGGGAGTTCTTCCTTCCCACCATTGCCAAGTGTGGCTCATAGGAAACTGATTGTTGATTGTTGTGGTTCAATGTGTCGTGATCTGCAGGGAATGCAGATCATGTGTTGTAAACTGGAGCCAAAAGCAAAAGGTTGATGATAAAGTACAAAATAAAGATAAGGAAAGAATACAAGAGGAAATGGAAAAGCCAGTTGCAAAACTGAAACCGAAACTGGAAAAAAAATTGGGGAAAATGAACACCTGAGAACACGAGGGAAAGGTGACTGAGACACAAGTGGAGACGCAGGGGAAAACCTCACAGCAGAACGGCATTAAACCAAGGAAGCAAAACAAATCACAATGCACACGAGATGAGAGATCACCAAAATAAAACAGGAAGCATGACCGCTGAGACTGAGATAAACAAACACGAAAGCACGATGGACCACATACAGGGGACGCTAGGAAGAACATACAGAGACAAGACTAAGATGAACACGGGAGGGGACTAACTAAGAGCTAGAAACATGAATAACTAAACAATTAAACACTGAAAATACTAAACTACAAGAGATGTAACAGGAGTTCTCGAATAATACATGAAAAGGAAACTTAACAACCTAAAGATATTTAAACAGAACCTGAAAAATCAAACACCAAAAAACTCTATTTGAAGCTGTAGAGTCTGATGGTGTGTCCTGACACTGCATAAATAAAAGTGAATGAACAGTTAAAGAATTGCTTTTGCACGAGTGTCCCAGGACAACAGGGAGCAGCACTCATCTGCCATGTTGTTTTTAGAACCAGAGGAAACTTGTGAATGGGTCCACAGCTTTCCACAGGTGGTTCTGTGAATGCAGACTCTACACAGGGATTTACTGAAGCTTGAACCCAGGAACATCTTGCTTTAAACGGTACTAATCACTGAGCCACCGTGCGTGAAATTACAGTGCAAACAACTATGCCTTAGTTGCTACTGAGAAAACCTTCCATAAACCATCACAGTTTGAGACCTGCATAACCTTTAGATCAGATTCTGTGGTTTTTAATGGCTTTTTGTATGTTGCCTACATTACTGCTCAGAACAAATTACCGTTCCGCCTTCATTAAACATTTTATGTGCACTTCAAGTGCAGACGTTTTTTTTTTTGCTTCCCGGAACGAGCACGAACATAGTGAGAATTTAAAACAGAAGAAGTTAAATGAGTTGACTGTGTGTCCGGTCACTCTTGTGCTGTAGGAACACATCTTCTTCATCCACAAATTTAAAGTCAAATCAACAAAACTGGGAGAGTTTTCGCCACAAAAGCACAGAAGCGCTGCATCGCAACTACAACTTTAAAGCGGGTTTGTTGAGAAATATTGAGCAGTCTGAGCTGTGCAGGTGGAGGTGTGCGTGTTTTTTCAGTGTGGTAAGGGTACCGAGGAAGAAAAAAGAAGAAAGAAATGAAGCTGCAGAAACAATGGGGAGAAAAGAGAGATTGTAAAGACAGAGAGCAAGAGCAGCATCGGTAAATCTGGTCACTTACTTCTACCTCACCTCCCAATCGATGTGCTTGACCTTTTCTGTTCTCTCGGTTATCAGCAGTGGCGAGTCTCTCCGTCGTCGCCTCTATCTTTGGCTCTCCCTCCTGCTGTACCAAAACCTCTGTCATCTGTCACTCCACACCTCCGGAGCGAGGGATCAGCAGCATCATCCATCTGCCTGCAGTGAAAGAGGGAGGAAAAGGGCAAAAAAAAGGAAGAGAAAAACGAGGTATTGACTTTTTGATGCTCATTTGTAAAACATTTCAGTTCAAAACAGAGGTAAAAGTGAGTGAAAACACAAAACCACACTAACTCCTACACACACCCACACTCCAGCAGCAACACCACAACTGAATGTACCATTAATCGTTGGTTCTTTCATCCAGCACAAGCACAGTGGCATTGAATAAAGACTTCTATTATTTTTAGGAGCTAGAAAGATCAGAAAAGCAGGAAAAGGCACTTAGCTAAATGTGTGTAGTATGTTATGTGGAATAAATTGCAAATATTGTTCAGAGCATCAATTTTAACTGTGTGAAATAAGATAAATCCTATTTAGGGCTCTCTGTTTGCCTGTGTTACTAATGTTGCTGTTCAGTACGTGAGGATATTAAACAAACTAAATTTTATGTTGTTAGCTTCATACGACTCACATTGATCTATGACTGGTGGGCCGGACCAGGGGAACTCCCCTTTCTGTCAGTAAAAGAAGTTTGTCTACACATTTAATCCCCGAGATATCTTAGTATAAGAAAAATAAGTGCAGGTTCAACAGTACATTTTAGTTTTTCTACATGTTAAAGAAATACTGCTGTAGTAAATGAAGAAACTGCTGATTGCTCATTGGCCAAATGGTCCTGTAATTATAAAACTGAAAATCTAATATATATATATATATATATATATATATAGATAATCAGAGGTAAAACTAAACCTTCTGCTATCTGAAAATCTTCTTAAAATATATTTAAAAGTTTGAACTCTTTGCCAGGACAGTTATGGCCCTCAGGCCTTATGTTTGATACCAAAAATGCAATCAGTACAATTCAGTTTTATTTACATGGTGCCAAAGCAAAACAGTGTTTATAGGACATTATATTCCTTATACATGTTCAGTGGTATTTTCTGATTCATGTCATTCGTCACGCATCTTTAAAAAGATATGTTTGTTGTTATGAATATTTTCAGGAAAAAATTGTCTAATGTGAAACACACGGGGCCCACAAGTTGAAGTTGAAAAAGTATGTGTTCAAGAACTTTTTATCATAGATTTCTTTTATTTTATTGATTTCTTTTCTTACTACCTTTTCTAGACAGCAAAAAAAAAAAAAAAAATTATGAGTTTTTAGAGTTGGAAGAAGTTTTCTTCTTAGGGTTTCTGAGCTCAGCCTTAGAGATAAGTCGAGGCTCTCAGTCAGTCAGGAGGGGTCCTCTGCACAATCAGACACGACTGGGACACCAAGTGAGTGCCTCCTAGGTTAGGTGTTTCCATCATTTTGTACTGGGAGGAGGCCCCAAGGTAGACCCGGGGCGCACTGGAGAGGTTAGATGTCTCGACAGGCTCGGGAATGCCCTGATTCTCCCCCGGAAGAGATGGACGATGTGGGTGGTAGGTCCGGGTGTCTCTGCTTAAACTGCTGCCCCCATGATCTGAACCCAGATAAGTAACGCAAATTAAATGGATGGAAAAAGCTGCAATTTTTAACCAACCACCCACAATATAAAGCACATTGAGGAGACTGTGGTTGTGATTCGGCACCATATAGATAAACTGAATTAAACTGAACACATTAAGAAGACAATAACTCACACTTAGTAGAGTTTTTTGAAAGCTGGATGGGAAAAAGTGACAAAAATCCAACAATGTCTCAAACTAAGGAGAAATTCAGATATGGTACTTTGTTCTTTCTTGATGAAATTTTGGTTGATCATTTGGTTAAAACTGCCACCTAAGCCTCACTGAAGCACAGTGAAATAAGTGATGACTTCAAGGTGTTCAAATCACATTACTACCAATCAGCACCCAGGCCTGTGTACAGGCAGGTCCCACATGTGTAATAGTGACGCTATTTGATGCAGCTCAGACATAAAAATCAAATGTCGTGCTCCATGTGGCACGCATTGGATGGATATGGATTGTGTTTAAATGTCACACGGGTCATTTCCATCAGCGTGGTCACTAAGCCATGAGGCCACATAATGGACTGGACAGATGGAGCAACGTTACAACAATAAGACAGACTGGCTGGAGTCAGTCTGCCAGGTGGGTTAAATAACAGAAAGAGACGCTGAAAGAGTTAGAAGCCAAAGAAACCCACTGTTAAAAGCTAACATTGAAAAGCTACCCTGAAAGAAGATGACTGTGCGTGGTGTTGCAGTTTAAGGAATATAAAGCCAATACATTATCTTGAAACGGGAGGTTCTGCATTGCTCGATTTCTCTTGACGAAGCACCTGGATTAGTGTGTCTTCTGTCAGTAAAGAAGAGCGGAGAAGATAAGCTAAATATCGTACTTGGCAGACAAATTAATGGCACATTCAACACTCCAAACAGAAATCCTGACACTCTGCAATAATTAAACATTTAAAGAGGATCCAAAAGGCAGTTATCTCACAGCGAGCCAAGCTTATATAAAAGCCTATCCTTCACAGCTCAAAGTGTTACAGAAGGGAGGGACAAGAATGGGGGAAAAAAAAGTCATAATTAAGTCTGTAATATAATCCCAAAACACCTAAATCCCACAGAAAATTATTTTTCTTACAGGTCTATTTCCTTTGACTCCATTATACCATATGTACATGTGCTTATAGCCCTGGGAGTCTTATTTTAAAGCAAATACATTCAAATATATGCGGGAACAGGAAACCAACACGCTCGAGGCATAAGAACCGAAGTGGCACGAGTGACATTTGGGATGAATTCACAGAGCGCCTACTAACCACAGCAACAGCTGGTAAAAGTGACACACAGACATCAACAGATGCCATTTTGGCAGAGCTGAACAAAACAGACTGGAAACGTGAAGGATCCAAAGCCAGCTTTATGATGGAGCTCCTCTGATGTTTGGGAAAAGGGAAGCATTGCGACCTCTAAGAAAAGTACTGACAAAACTGCTCATCCTCTCTATAATGCCTGATTTATGCTTCTTTGCCGTAACCTTCAACGCCTTTCAGTTGTCGACTTGAAACATAGCTCTGCTTCTCGGGAGGTGCACCTCAGGATACTTGGAAGGTTATGGCATAGAGTTAAAAGGCGTTTCCAGTTACATCGTAAGTCATGACGTAGATTTCCTGCTGAAGCGTAATTCACCCATAAGGCTGCTTCACCACAGCAGACCAATACAGCTTGCATGGAGAAGCTAATTTTCCATTCTGAGAAAAACCTGTTGGTTCAGTTCACGTCTCATAGAGAGAATGCACAAGTGAGTGGAAGGACGGCGCACTTAGGATACTCTCCTATAGACGTCTATTTGACTTTAATGCCTTGCTTTCATTCAGTAATTACTATGGACAACATAGTAAAAGTGCAGGATTGTATCTTCACCACTAGTCTTGAGCTGCTCGTAGATTTACCTGGTAGAAATTCAAAGAAGCTTGTGTAACAGTGTTAGGGTAATACCGAGGGTAGTTCGAGAGATAGATCGATAAAACTCAGAAACAACATGAAATTCTCAGGTGGAGGTAGCAACGAAGTGCAATGATGTTGTGAAACCTGGCATGCCCTAATGAATGTATTCACATTATGGTGGTGAAAGTGCAATGATTCATATTTCATGTAGCTGTAATTTCAGATGTTCCCACAGTAAGTTGTGCAGCAGCTGAGTTTAATGAAAAAATCTGGAGAGAGGTCAAAAGAGTGCAACAAAAGAGAACGAGCAGTAAAGGGGAAGTGCTGAACCCTCTTCAAATCAGATCTTCTCATTGATGGGACTTTGTAGGTGGTAATCACTCCCATTGAGATCACCAGGGGGAGACCTGCTGTACCTACTAGCGGGCGATTAATTACCCAATTCTAATCAGTGATAAACAGACTATAACCCAGATTACATGGAAGGCCTCCAACATTTGTGTGCACGCAAAACCTCTGAATGACTTTTGGCATAGTTAGGTGCAGTTCAGACAGTTTAACGGTGTTTTCAGTGCATACCTTCTTAGAAGATAATGGTCGAGTTGCTATGTTCTTTGAGCAGATTTTTGCTGCTTTTTCAACATGAAGCAACAGGCAGTGTTATTTATATAGTGCTAAATCCCAACAGGAAATGCCTCAAGGTGTTTTATATTATAAGGTAAAGACCCTACAATAACAATCATAATATAATCTGCTCTGGAGTAACCAATCTCTTACTTTTAGCTTTTCAGAAATTATTTTTTGAGCTAACCTTCATCCCTTCTTACTGGTGTTCTCTTGTCAGCATTCCTTTTTTTGTGTAGTTGTATAAGTAATATACTACTATTATTAGCTCAAAGCTAAGCACGCTGGAAAACATTTGCTTGGTTTACATGCAGTTGATGATGACTCCTTCTGATTCTGGAGTAAGATCTGTATTATCTCTCTAGTGGATTGAAAGAGTGCTGTAAATCTCTTTTTTTATCCATGAACTCAAACTGAATGCATGATGTGTAGTGTAAGGGTACTGTTGTTCAAATATGTTACTTGCTTTAGTTGTTTATAATGTGTGCCCAAATCTCTGCGGCAGGAATGAAGCTGGATGCGACCACTATTCTGCGTTTTCCAGCATACTTTGCTGTTCTAACATGCTTCCATGGCTGCAGCTCGCTAGCTGCCAGCCACACATACCCACAACTACAACATGACAGTCTTAACCCGGCGAGGCATGGTCGCAGATGCCCTGCAGGTGCGTTCACCTACCCTGCAGTGGCACCGCCGACCATGCCTCGCCACAATCTCCAGTGATACATAATACTGGAAGAGTAATTCTGTTTTTACAACACAAGAGTGACTATCTCCTAAAATGAGGTGTACAAAACAAGTAACGATTAGTGCTGTTAGCGTTAATCTCATTAAAATGACGTTAACGCCATAACTACATTAACGCGGCAAACCTCCGTTAGCAAGTTAACGCGGCTTGCCCCCCGTGAGGTCTGCACGGTTAGCTCGTTAAAGCGTTGCAGCCCCTCGCACGGGTCGAGC